TAGTTCGTCGAGGCAGTCGGTGGTTAAACATACCTAACACATGTCCTAACCACTGGGCCGGCATCCAACGGTGTTAATGTCTAACTCTGATTGATCTAAGGATTTTGCGCGACCTCACCCATTTGTCTTTGGTAGTTACTGCCTACACCCGGCAGGGTTGAACTCCATTGGTCACGTCTTCTCAACTAGAACTCCGAGAACTTCCTCACGAAGCTAGTCACTAGTGATCACTGTTACGATATTGTGGTTGATGATTTCAAATGTGTAAAAATTCGCAAACCTCCAAAACTGTGCCCCAAAATATCGTAACAGTGTTTTTTCTTTGTACCTCTAAGGACACATCAGGTGAGTGTGATCGCAGATTTTAATCAAATAACGATAGATCTGAATGTTAATGAAATAAGCGCTCAGTTTGTCAATGGGTACACTGTTTTTTTCTCTCAATGAAACCAACTCTTTAATTGGTTGTAAGCCATTTTCAATGTAACATTTGATTGGTTGAATTTCATGTGAATTAGTTAGCTAGTTTTGATTGGATATGGAATGTTTATGATTTTATTGATTGGAAAATTATTTGTTTTAAAAAATCTCCCGGAAATTATTTCACTGATGTTGAGTAGTCTATTTTGTATTTTGAGATTTTTCAAATTAATAGTCAGTCAGTTAGTAAGCAACAACGTAGAAGTTTGTACGTAAGTACATCAGTTCAAGTTGTTATATCACATTAGCAGTGAGATGCAATCGTCAATTCAAATCCAATAGTAGTAGAGGCAGTAAGTATTAGTAGTAATCGGAAAGATTAAAGTTTGAAGATATTATTCAAAGAGTATATGTAATCCAATGAAATAAAATTGAGAAGGGAAATATGATGATCATGAGGAATTCAGATTAGAATTCGGGCTAACAGGGTAAATAGATACACCTGAGCGATTGCAAACGATTTTGAGCCAGGTCATTCAGAGAAATCGATTGATAGGTACAATATTAAAGTGATATCTCTAATACTAATCAAGTAGTTTAGTCATACTATATAACATTACAGAAAAAGGTAATGTAAATAAGATATCGATCAATGTATTAATCATGTGAAAATCGGAAATAATAGAGAGTATAAGATTTGAAATGTCATAAATGAGCAGCTTTAAAAACGCTACTGTGATTTGCTGAAAAATGCGAAAGCCATCACCAAGAAGATACAAGTGTTTATTAACGCGAAATACTTCGGATTCGTTGACCAGATACTATCAGCAACAACCTACTGTGGGAGAGAACAAGCCAGATTGCAGTTGAGAAAGAAATCAGGAAGAACGGCTGGAAATGGATATTACTGACATTGAGGAAAGCACCTAACTGCATCACAAGACAAACTCTCACTTGGAACGCTCAACGTCGAAGGAAAAAAGGAAGACTGAAAACCACATTACGCCGATAAACGGAAACAGACCTGAATGGCAAATGAACAGCAAACGAATAGAATTGGAAGAGAAGGCCCAGGGCAGAGTAGGTTGGAGAATGCTGATCGGTGGCCTATGCTCCATTGAGTGTAACAGGCGTTAGTAAGTAATTTACCGATGATTGACTTCTAACACACAATCAGTACACCGAATCGTTGAACCAATCATTTGGTTAGATATCCGTTCGCTAACCAAAGGACGAGTGTACTGTGCAGCAGTTCGCTCAGTCCTACTGTACGGATGCGAGACTTGGCCGTTAAGAGTAGAAAATGTTCGTAGGTTACTAGTATTCGATCATCAATGTCTCCGAAGCATTGCTCGTGTATCATGGGACAACCGTATAAGCAATGCTATCGTTAGGAAACGAGTTCTAGGTAAAGACGGCAAATCAATAGATGAAGTAGTGAAACTTCATCAATTGAGGTGGTTGGGACATGTGTTAAGTACGGCTAACCACAGAATGCCGCGACGAGCTATGTTTTGCAGTGTAGGAGTAGATTGGAAGAAAGCAAGGGGCGGCCAGACTAAAACATGGCAGAAATACATGAAGTCACTGACAAGTGGACTTAGTCATGTTGGTAGATGTAGACTACCTGGTTGGGGTCCGCGAGACGAAAGTCACCAATGGTTAGAGACCTTGAACGACATGGCTCAAAATCGTTTGCAATGGCGCAGGTGCATCCAATCTTTGTGTTCTATGAAGTTCTAAGCTTCTGCATTCCTCATAATCTCTACCTTTCTCGTTCTAAATTTATCTTACTTAATTATACTTCTCGAACCATATCATATCTTCGCTCCCTAATCTTCTCTATTACTGCTAATACTTCTACTATCGCTATCACTCTTGGATTCGAACTGACAGTTGCGTCTCTGTGCTGATGTGTTATGGCAACCTGAACTGATGTACTTACTTACGAAGTTCTGCTTTGTATCTGTCTGTCTGTCTGAACCAATCATTTATGAATTGTATTGATAAGACCTCATACTACATATATGGTTTTAGATCCCAATGAGACTGGGAATCACGAATAGAAAAGTGACTAAACGTTGTCTTACTGTATTCCTGAGTTACTCAAGTGATGGAAACGATGCTAGAGACAGTATGCTTAAAACTAATTCACCTGTGACAGTGGCCACGTTCGAACGAGAACATATAGTAACAATAGCTTGATTACTTGAGCTCATTGTTATCACATTTGAAGTCCTCGAACAAATCGTTGCCTTTTATATGACAAGTGAACCTATACACATCCGGTTACATTAATTTTAGACTAATCAATATTATTAGACGGTGAGGTTTGAATAGAGCAAGGAGGAAAGCGTGCAGCATGTTTCTTTAGTGGGCGTGATGGTTGATATAACTAAAATTTTAATCACAGCTCGTTAAATGTTATTCCTAGAATTCAGCGGTGAAACTCATTGAGTCTAGCTCATGATTATCAGATAAATATAGAGGTAACTTGCTAAAATATCCTGATGTTGAGAAACACAGATAGCCTAGATATTCAAATAGACCGCCCAAAAACGTTTTGCATTCTATACAGAGAACAAGACAACTTCCAATTGAGGAAGAAATTAAGGAAAAAAAGCACTAGAGTTAGGTAGTATAAACATTGTGAAAACCATCCAACTGTGTCACAAGGCAAGCCCTGACTTGGAATCCTCAAGGTCATAGGGATAGAGGCTGATCAAAGAACACACTGCACTAGGGATCGTAGGTGAACATTACTTGGAAAGAACTGGGTTGGAGAAGCATAGGACAGAGTTGGTTGAGGAATATACATTTAGATTGCCTATGCTCCACCAGAGGTGATAGATATTAGTAAAGAAAGTAAGTAGTTTGCATTGCACATACAAATCAACCATGACAAACAAATAGTACTGATATAATATCAAACAAAATATAATATCATATACTTACGTATTTCCGGTAATGAAAGATTTTCATGAGGATTGACATGTCCAGAATAATACTGTTTTAAAAAATAAATTTGTATGAGCAAAAAATCAATTTTAATCAAACTCAACAGAGATCATGGTAAAAAAAAATCATGACAAACATCAATTGAGGAGAAAAAACAAATTACATGCACTAAAGTACAACAACACAGAACTATTGTTGTGAACTAGAACACATGTGGGGCAACCGAATTGTATTTCACGAAAATTACAGAGTTACTCAGTAAAATAGGAAAACCATATTGTAAATTGGTCATTTGCAAATTATCAGTTCATCATTTCGAACTGGACTGTACCTGTTGCAAAACATCAATCCATCGTCACTACTATTCATGCGTTTCATACAAATTCCATTGTGTTCTAACTCTTCCTTTCTTGATCTTCCCTCATCTTCTGCTGCCAGACATTATGTTGACACCCACGTCATATACTACTTATAAGTAGCTCACACCACACTCGTCCCCCCTTTTAATAAGCTGTCGTCGTAGTCTTTCAAAACAGGGGCCCTGGTCAGTTAATATCACCTTCCGTATTCCGTGACACGCTACAATATGACGGATTACCACTTCGGTCATTGTTCTTGCCCGCTGGACTGGAATGGATACGGCATCTATCCAACGTGTAGCGTTTACTAGTTCCCGATGCTGGGACACGGTGGCAGGCACACTCTCGATAAATTGCGACGCCAACAACTGTGCGCCCGACTCCCCATCCATACACGGCAGCGTACGGCGCAGCAACATCGTGAGCTCCACAGCCAGCACCAACGGGTCACCATCAGCCGACAGCCTCGCCAACCGGAACCTCTGCGGCGCCTCCTCCCTGTCCACTGGGCTGTCGAACTCCGTCATCAGCCTCCCGGTGACCGTCTCCCACGCCATCTTCCCGGCGGCACCGTCCAGGCTGTCGTATACCGCCTTCGCCTCACCTGCCAGCAGCGTCCCCAGCACCGCCAACTCCGCCCCGGGCCCCTTCACACCCACCAGCTCCACCGCAGCCTCAAACTCCTCCAGGAAGCTCCGCAAATCTCCGTCCTCCAACTCCTTCGGCCACGGGAGCTCCTTCCTTCGAGCAGGCAGCGACATCAAATGTAGTGAACGAGAACACGGGTGGGGCAACCGAATTGCATTTAATTCAAATTACAGAGTTACTCAGTAAAATAGGAAAACCATATTGTAAATTGGTCATTTGCGAAATATCAGTTCATCATATCGAACTGGACTGTTCCTGTTGCAAAACATCAATCCATTGTCACTACTATTCATGCGTTTCATACACAAATTCCATTGTGTTCCCACTCTTCCTTTCTTAATCTTCCCCCATCCTCTTCTGCTGCCAGACATTATGTTGACACCCACGTCATATACTACTTATAAGTAGCTCACACCACATTATTACTTTAAGACAACAAAAAAAATGTACTTGTGTTATTCGACAAAAAAAAAAGTGCAAGTTACAAGGCAAAAAAAAAACGTACAGACAACGATGACAACACACGACAAGGACGACAATATGAAACACTGATGTGGAACAACAAGTAGTGCTTTGTACAACACTAATCATGCTTATACTCTACTAAATTTTTACCCTTTCTCTAATTGGCCATCTACGATATTCCATTCCTAATGATGTTGGTGGTGGTTGTAATGGACGATGATGATGTCTAGTAGTTCTATGAATTGGTACATTCAAGCTATTATAATCAATTTCTGTACTTCTTCTAGATGAATGAGGATGAGGATGATGATCATAACAACTGGATCCAATAAATTTATTGTGTATACGTTTAGGACTTGTACTACGACTACGTGTTGATGCAATTAAACATTGCTCGTTGTTCAATACATTTAAAAATGAATTCTTATTACAATGATCTATGGTTGTTTGATTCGGATAATTTCGATTAGTCAATGTACTACTATTATCAGGATATCTATCTTCATTCGAGGATGAAGACATTGGATGTGGTTCATGCTTTGAATAATAATAATAATAACGATTCATTGGATATTGATTAGCTAATCGTTTGGCGCCATATTTAAATTTCTCCGGTGATATTCTCCCACTGTATGTATAACTTTTGAAAGACTGTGGATAGTAACGCAAAGGATATAATATTTTATTTGCATGCAAATAATGCAAAGGTTTACGTCGAATTCCTCCTCCTTCATGTCGTGTATTGAATAATCGTTCCATTATTGTAGGTGATTCATGATATTCATGTGGATAATCTTTATGCATGTTAGTTCTTATCGTACCACGTGGTTTCCATTGTCGATTTGGATAATCGGCTGTTAAATTATACGAGGATGATGTACGAAACCATTGGTTATGATGATGATTCGTTGGCAGTTTAGATGATTCACTCGATAGTGAACTATCATTATTATTATGATTATTATTCAATGATGCTTCATCACTATGATAAAGATCTTTGACAAGATCATCTCTTAGCTGTAACTCGTAATCATCCGATATAGATCTTGTTTGACGCCATTTATATTTGGAATGTTTAAAATGTCGAGGAGATTGATTTTTTTGATACTGATGAGGTTGATGCTCATGATGCTGACGATGATTAGGGCGTGGTTGATAATAATGAGAAGAAGGATGTGATGAAGAAAGAGGACTAGTTGCGGATTTCTGTACATAGGATGTATTATTGTATAATGATGAATGTTTCAATTTGATTGGTTGATTCGAGTTAGTGAATTTTGTTTGAAAATTATGATCAGATAATGAATATGTCTCATTATCATTATTATTATTATTATTGTTTAATTCGTTTAATTCTTGTGATTTTTCTAATTTACGACGAAGTAATAATGCCTAAATTTAATTTTATTATTATTATTTTTAAAAAAAAAATGAAACAACAACATGATTCAACAGTAATTAGATAAACAAGAATTTGTCATTGATCAATTGAAATGTTTCACTCAGTATTGAACATTGAACAAGTTTTTTGTGTGTTTAAGTTCCCGACCGTAGCTGCTACCTTGACGTGGTGGTCGGGCTTGCGTATCGTTATGACCCAACCAAGCTATACTGGTTGGAACATATGTTCCTCAAGGTTCTACCATGCCAGGCAGGTCGACTGAAGAACGATGAGACTAAAAGCAGCTACCCAAGGTCTGAGGGCGAAGTCGTACTGCTGACTGACTGCGGAGGGGTGTGACAGCAGTAAGGTGTTTCCCTCGGACAACAATCAGCATCTGCAGCGATGCTGCCTTCTCACAAGGAACGAAGGTTTAGAAAAGGTCGACCCTAAAAATGTCACACCCCCCCCTAACTCACGGATTTCCGTCTCCTTGGGTAAGGGTGCCCACTAAGGGCCTTTAAGAACGGAGCTAATCCTCTAAAAACGTTTCATAAAAAGGCCGTGCGTGACCGGCCCCAAGCAGTTGTTCCTTGGGCTCTGCGGTCACGCCCCCCAGGTCTTTAAGACCAATACTATGAAATAAATCTTCCCTTCGATTTCTGTATATATATCATTTCTAGGCGTACCACGTTTGTGACACAGCGGTTTTAAGAAGCCAGATGAGTTTATTTTTCATGCACATTGTTCATGCATACAGATGTGAGCATGAAGAGCGTATAAGTAAAGCAAAGGGACGTGAAGAGGACGAATAGTCCAACTCAATGCAATCAGGTTTAACAAAGTATTTATAGTCAGACAAAATGAGCCGAACGAGTAATTAAAGAAGTAAGCGTGTGCACACACACACGCCTAACAATTGGACAACTGGGCCAGCATCCAATGGATGTTCATGTCTAACTCTGATTGATCTAGAGATTTTGCGCGACGTCACCCATTTGTCTTTAGTAGTTACTGCCTACATCCGACAGGGTTGAACTCCATTGGTCACGTCTTCTCAACTAGGACTCTGAGAATTTTCCTCATGAAGCTAGTCACTAGTGAGCAGAGTTTTGAAGGTTTGTGTTTTTATACATTTGAAATCGTCAATCAATCCGCAGATCAATCAGAGTTAGACATTAACACCGTTGGATGCCGGCCCAGTGGTCCGATGGTTAGGCATTCGCGCACAATACAGAAGGTCCCGGGTTCGAATCCTGTGACCATCTGGACTCATGGATGCACACTGCTACTGCTGATGAGTCCCACACCAGGACGAAACGGCCGTCCAATGCTTCCTGGTTTCTAATGGTGGTCTAACAATGATTGATTGACGATTTCAAATGTGTAAAAACACAAACCTCCAAAACTCTGCCCGAAAAGAACTAATAATTATTTGAAACAAGTTTTTTTATGTATGATTTTAAATAAAATTGTAAACTTAGAAATTTATTGTATTATTTTTAAAAGTAGAATTTCTAAAAAGTTAATGACTAAAATCGTTAAATATTTATATCATAATTTGTAGTATGTTAATTGTTCAGATATTCACCAGATATCTTATGAAGAATTATTTTTTTTAAGTGTAAATTCTATTGGTTAATTCCTATTGGTCAATTTTATGGTCGACCTAACTATCAATGTCACATATTTCAATGTTGTCTCCTATTGGTCGTACTATCTGTCAATGTCACTTCAAATGATGTTTCCCATTGGACGTCTTAACTATCAATGTCACAGACTTCAATGTTGTTTCTTATTCGACCTAACTGTATAAATACGCATTATCTGTAACGTTTAATAGCCAGGACACGAATCCATAGTTCACGATCCTGATTCTCTTCTGGATTCGGACCTCGTACTTTTTGGATGCTTGTAGAATACATGTTCTACTACATATCAAGTCTTCTTCTTTTATTCAATCGAGGTTGGGACTATCGGATCCTAGATCCTCGCTATCGTTTTCCGACCAAGGTAAACTCGTAATAGTTCAAGCATATCAAATTGACCTGTTTACGTGCTTACGTAACACTAATACAACGTGATTTCGAAAAATTAGTAAAATATTTTATTCAGATATTTAAAAGAATTTACAATAGTAATTTTATGTACTTTCTTGTTAGTTAAATTCTAAATTTACAAGAAAAATTCAGTGATAAGCTTTTAGTGGCAACGTTAAATTCGACATAGGGCTCACCAGCTTAGTGGCCCGCCATCTGACTCCATTTTGAACGAACAGTCGAATATACTATGAAATAATTTCTGCATATTATTTCTAGGTAAAACCCGTATGTGAGCTGAATATGGATTCATTTGGATGAGTTTATTTCATACAAATTGTTCACGCAGACAGATATGAGAATGAAGAGTGTATAAGCAAAGCTAAGCGACGTGAAGAGGGCGAATATTCCAACTCAATGCAATCAGGTATGACGACATATTTACAATCAGGCAAAATGTTATGCTCGTCACTTGCTATGCTTGAAACTATTAACGGGTGTTCACTTTGGTCGATAAATGAGAACGAGACAATGAACCGTGTGCGAGTAGGCTACTTTGATCCGTTGACCCACAGGAACTGGCGTAAAATCTTGATATTGCGTAGAAAGTATATTCTACAACACCCAACAATCACACTACAATCAAACATACAACTCTCGTTTATTTATACATCATAGAAACGTCCTTCGGACAGTCGCAAAAATAGCACACTAAAATGACACAGTAACCAATCACAGACCAGGATTTTGCTGGTGGGAAATGTGATCTCAAGGCCAACTGATCAGCCCATGCTCGCAAACCTGAAATCCGAAATCAAGACATGTATCAAGCGAGTTCTGAGGATCTGACATCCCCAACACAAAATAAGCCGAACGAGTAATTAAAAAAGTAAGCCTGTGCACACACAGAGTCAAATAAAAACTATCAAGGTAATGAGTGAATAAATTGACAAGATTGAAAAACATGTGAATAACTTGAAAAGAATGTAGGAATTTAATTGCTGTCCAAAGGCTGGGAACAAAACCTTTATGGACTCAACATATTTTTACACACACACACACACACACACCATAAACTATTTATTTAATCACTTATCAAAAGAGGCAGAAGAACAACATTAAAAGAGTTGCTTATGAATGAACATGTGTTGTATATTTAAATCCTTATCGGATGCTGTCTCAGTCAAAAGGTGGAGTAATTCAAGGTTGTGTCACAAATCCTTTGCTATTTTAGTTGATATGTTGGAGATGTTAGATCCCTGGAATTCGCTTGATAAATATCCTTATTTTACATTTATTTCAATGGACCGATCAGTAGACCATAAGATCACATTTCCCACATAAGGAAAATCCATGGCTGTGATTGGTTGACTGTGTCATTTTAGTGTGCTATTTTTGCGACTGGTCCGAAGGACGTTTCTATGATGTATAAATAAAAACGCATTAAAGTGCTTGGAACGATTGTGTGCTGGCTGAGTGTTTGTAGAATATACCTTTCACGTTATATCAAGGCTTCTTGCTGGTACAATTGGGCCAAGGGATCACGTAGCCTACCTGGACGCTGGTTCATTGTCTCGTTCATCGTTATTCGACTAAGGTGAACTCGTAATAGTTTAAGCATACCTAGAGACCAGCGTAATATGATATAAATGACATTTGTAATTGCTTCTATGTAGTAAGCCTCTTCTATAAACATATGATCGTGAAATAGTTACCTGGCACTCAGGTCAATCAGCAATCAACAAACACATAGACATTGATCCCATTTATCAAACAATCAGAAAAAATGATAGACAAACGCGTATCAAGAAACGGATCAAAGGGTGATACAATCAAATAAATGTGCTAAACAACGGACAGGTTTAAGGTCAATAGCAACCAATCAGGTCGAGGTTAACAGAAAAAGCTACGGTGGCCAAACAGTAGAGAAATTCGAATACTTCACTTCCATTTGAAGTTTGTGCTGATGATGTTTGTTTAGAGGAGCAATAAAAGCTCCATTACCAAAACATCTAGCCCAGAGGATGAACCTCCACCACTACCATCCAACCTGAGCTACAATTTTCTCCACCATCTCAAAATCGAATTTCTAACACATAAATTTTTGATTTTCATTTTAGAGTTGTGAAGGACTCAGTTGAGTTTTATTGGAACCATAAATCAATTATTCTTAGACCAACATCAGAAACCCAGAAGCACTGAACGGACATTTCGTCCTAATATGAATTCATTAGTGCCCACTAGTGACTAGGTTTGTGGCGTGAATTCTTAGAGTTCCAGTGAGAAGTCGTGACTTGTGGAGCTCAGCCCTTCCTGGGTGTAAGCAGTAATTACCGAAGACACATGGGTGAGGTTGCGCAGTACCTGGGATCGACTAAAGTTTAGACGTTAACACTGGTTGGGTGCCAGCTCAATGGTCCAGAGGTAAATGCGTTCGCACACGACACCGGAGGTCCTGGGTCCCATAGCCGCGTTTCCACAAGTTTCTAATGGTGGTCTAACAATACAATCGGGTTCATGAGTGCAACATAAATTTGTATTTGTATTCTCATATAAAATATATCTGTTTTATATTTGTGTCTTTTGCGTGGTATTTTTCCGTTTTTTTTTTTGACTTGTTTCAACAACTTCATGTCGAATAAACAAATCAAACCATTTTCTAAATAATTATTATATCCTTAGACATGTACACAGTGTATAGTTTTAACATGATTTTAAACTGAAAAAATTTCGAATTATGTGATACAATAGCGCCTAGGCAACGGATACTAGATAATAGTGATAATCTTTTAGCAAAAACGAATAATTTTGATATCAGACAGTTACACTTTTCAGGTGTGATGACCTTCAAACAGGAGACACGCTTGTTGATATAGAGTATGCTGATGACATAGTCCTATTCGGTGAAGACGATGACAAAATGCCAAGTCTTCTGACTACCCCAAGCAACATATTCGAGATGCGATTTTCCT